ATAAATCCACCGGACATCGAAGCAGCACACACAGATCTTCCTATAGATGTCAATCCACTACTGTCAATACCAGGGAAAGTATTTAATAGAGTGCTGCTGAACCGGATGAAACACTCAGTAGACGCCCAACTTCGAGATCAAGCTGGATTCCGTAAGGATCGGTCGTGCACAGACCGAATTGAGACACTACGGATCATCGTTGAACAATCAGCTGAGTGGAACTCATCACTCTACATCAACTTCATTGATTGTGAAAAGGCATTTGATAGTGTAGATAGGAGAACATTATGGAAACTTCTTCGATACTATGGAGTTCCTGAGACGATTGTCAACATTACCCGGAACTCATACAAGGGATTACAGTGCAAGGTCGTGCATTGAGGACAGCCGACAGACGCATTCCAAGTAAGGACTGGAGTCAGACAAGGCTGTCTACTCGATCCCTTCCTCTTTCTTCTGGTGGTCGACTGGATTATGAAGACCTCGACATCTGAGGGAAAACAAGGCATACGATGGAGAGCTCAGGACCAATTAGACGATTTGGACTTTGCAGATGACCTAGCCCTACTATCGCATACACACGGACAAACGCAGATAAAGACAGTCAGTGTAGCAGCAGTCTCTGCATCAGTAGGCCTCAGTATACACAAAGGGAAAACCAAGGTCCTCAAATTCAAAACAAAGTACTGCAATCCAACCACTCTTGATGGCAAAACTCTGGAAGATGTAGAATCCTTCACATACCTGAGAAGTATCATCGATGAACAATGAGGTCCAGGTGCAGACGTGAAGGCGAGGATTAGCAAAGCAAGGGCCACGTTCCTACAATTGAAGAACATATGGAACTCGAAACAACTTTCAACCAATATCAAAGTGAAAATTTTCAATACAAATGTCAAGGAAGTTCTACTGTATGGAGCTGAAACTTGGAGAACTACAGCAAGCATCATCAAGAAGGTGCAAGAATTTATAAATAGCTGTCTACGCAAGATACTCAACATCCATTGGCCGGATACAATCAGCAATAGCCTTTTGTGGAAGAGAACAAACCAGCTTCCAGCTGAAGAGGAAATTAGGAAAAGACGATGGAAATGGATAGGACATACACTACGCAAATTGTCAAACCGCATCACGAGACATGCCCTAACATGGAATGCTGAAGGGAAGCGGAAAAGAGGAAGGCCAAAGAACACATTACGTCGGAAAATAGAATCAGATATGAAAAGGATGAATCACACCTGGAAAGATCTGGAAAGCATTGCCCAGGACAGGGTTATATGGAGAGTGCTGGTTAGCGGCCTATGTTTCTTCACGAGAAGTAACAGGCGTAAGTATGTAAGTAAAATTACAATCTCTTAGCATATGGTAGGATAAAAGAAATCAACCGAGAAATATCGAAGAGAATTGCGTTTCTTGATTCTCTTAAGTCGGGGATAGTTACGTAGAATAATAATAATAATTTATTCTCAAATAACAGTTTGTTACATGAGGCATGCCAGTTTACAGGCAAGATCAAATTGTTATAAATGATACAATATCCACTATAGTAAACTACTTGGCTGGGTTGATAATTTATGAGATATGAATGTAGATGGTTTTAATCAGTATCACAGTTGGCGCGCTTCATGAAAGTTGCGTTGCGAATGTGCAACTGATGGTCAAGAATAGGTCCATTGAATATAGGAGCTTCTAAAAGTCGCAACCTTATGTCCCTTTAGAATATCTAAGGCTTTGAGGATGGTTCAGGATGAAATCACCCATTCCATATCACAAGGGGGCAAGTAAAAGAAAGGACGAGAGACAGAGTAGCCAATATTCATGAAGGAATGCTTAAGGTATGATAACTCAGTCTAATTTTCTTTTATTAAGGTATTTGTTAAGAAAGAGCATTTTAATAGGTTAAAGAAAATAAGTGTTAACAAGGTATGAGTGGACATACAACTGACAAATAGAGGCGATTCGGAAAGGAGCTGAGAGTATGGGATTATGTGTGATTATAAAATAAAATATAGTGCTAGAAACAGTATTGTGATATACAATTGGCCATCTTCCTTTTTTATCGAAGCTATTGGAGCCCTTTTCATTTTTTTTGTATTATTATTTTTTTTAAGTATCATAGGGTCTTGAGTAGGCTTCGTATATTAGCGAATTGTCTAGTTTGCTTGTAATAGGATTACTGGGTAGGAAGTGAAACCAATTCAACGTTCGTAACACGATTTAAAGAGGTATTTTGCGTGATAAATCAACATTATAACCTAGGGTTCGTGACATCCCAGCACTTACTTTCGGCACAGTCATTGCCGATGTGCCACCTGGCGTCCCTCTTCTGCATCTCAAGCCTGGACTCAGATTGATCACATCGCGATCAGCTACCGCCGGCTTACTTGTGTACAAGACTGACGCTCCTTTTGGAGTACCTATCTGGACTCTGCGCTAATCTTACCTTACTTTTTAGTGGACAACAAAATGACCGCCACCAACGGATTGATGTTAGCAAGCCTGTTGCAACTTCTGTTGCAAGTAAGTAACGAACCGATCTGGATTCTAGGCTAGCCGCCACTCCACCGAAAAGTATAGATGAGCATTGGTTGCAAACCAAAAGGAGCCGTAATTAAACAAATTGTTCTGCCCTATAGACATGGGTGGATTGAATTTATCTCCCCACCATCATGTTTGCTGGTCAGTAACGCTACCCTCCCTCCTTTGGTGATGTTGGACTCTCTTACGTTTGTGGTAAGTATGAATACTGCTTTAACCAAAGCCCATAGTTGGAATACACTGTCTCTACTAGGTCCATGTTACAGGCAAATCAGATAGTTGAAAAGTCTGTTTTATGGGTCAGATGTCCATATAGTATATCACACTGCTATGAAAATAACTAATGGTTTAAAGAAGTAAGGACTAATAGCAAATCAAAAGATATGAGAGGGTATAAAATTGTAGAAAAAAAGACTTTAGGGTGAGAAAAATAAAACATTGAGAAACTCACAAGACTTTGTGGCCAAATTTTGAGCTTTGAATGATCGGCCTTAGTAGATCAGCATCCATAAGATTGAGCTATCTGTCTACTTGCAGTAGAAAAAAAAGCATGACTTTTAGGAAGAATAATGTGCATTTAACCTGTAGAGATTTGGGGACTGAAAGCTAGGGTTAGGAGCATGAAATCATGATTAATAAACAATGAATAATAGGAAAGGATAAGCCATATATCCTGTGATTTGGTTATATTCAGATTAGTAACAGTCGAACTTGTTATAATTTTGTTCTTTCTAGATACTAGGCGGTCTGTAATAAAGTGCCTCATTGGTGAGCGGGAGTCCAGGGAAATGTTGAGACTCTTTGAAGTCTAGAAATAGGGTTATTAGCTTTTTGAATCTGGTAAACGTATCACAGTTACGGATAGGCATTGGCAGCCTGTTCCACAATAAAATATACTGTACTATAAAAAGCTTACAACGCATTTGTTTTTTGTGTATCTACTATGATACTAGTACCGCTGTAATAATAGACTTAATCCTAAAGTTGTAGGTTTGTCATTATATAACTGCCTAACAATCATCGATAAATGATGGAGAACACATCCAGGCTGGGGACACATCAGTATATTTAATATGAGTAAAAGGTATATAACAAGATTTAAGGGTAGCCAAGCCTGCAAGGTCTTTCCATGCCATCCGATCAGTTTGAATAATTTGAATTCCTTCTTTCCGCTTTCTCCCTCGTTGTTTTTCTCTGCGTTAAATATTAAATATCTATTTTCCCAGTTGCCTAGTGTTCGGCTTCGAGGATTGTATGATTAGGGCGCAGTGCCACTACAAGACTATCTAAATTCTCCACACCCATGTGTATTTACCAGTTCAACTGTTTCTATGGGACCAGTTACGTGGAGCATGAATTCGGGAAGTCTGTCATCTCATAGGAGAACTCCATCCGTCTTGGTTGAGCAAAAGACAGGTAAGAGTGGTTAAAAGTTCTGTTTTCACCTACGGAGTGAAAATCAAAATGGCTTGAATATAGTTTTTAAGGTCACCCATTACGTTCCATCAGATTCACTACATGGTTGGTGAGTTTGTCTTTTGAGTACTGCTGGAGCTACTGGAATCCATATTCACAAAAATAACCTTAGCATCCACAAGAAGTTCATAGCAGTAAATAAACCCCCGAAATAATTATTTCTATAAGTCTTCGGTATTAATGCTGACCTAATTGGTTCTACTGGACACACCCAAGCTGGAGGCGCTTGATTACGTATCCGCACCAGATCACGGGCGGGTACGCTGTACTACGCATACCTTGAGACTACCAACCAGCTTGGACAAAACGCTTCTCGACATATCGATAGCCTTCCAAATGTATATTCGACCCTCTTCATTTCTGATTTCTGATTTGACTAGGTTGGTGTACTTTGATTACAAAGGTGTTATGTATAAAGGCGTTGTCTCACTCCGAATACCAGTGGCATTTTTAAGTTTGTACAAACACTCTCCTTGCCGCAGATGTGGGAGTTTTGGCTGATCTGTTAGATACTACATTTCAAAAATACTCAAACATTTTTCCAGTTTCTTTCACATTTGTATTTTCATGTATTCTAAAATATCTGTCTCTTGATTTTTACATCATTACTATAATACTCGCCCTTCACAGAAATACTTCGTTGATTCTTTTAGCATATTATGCAGTGCATTATCTGTTTGATTTTTCAAATAACTACTTTGATTGCTATAATGCCATCTCCTCCAATTTCTTAATATTATTTTATAATCACAGTGACATTATACGACTAATAAATAACGTAACTACTTGGTGAGTATTACTTCATTGTTGTAGATCATTTATATATTAGTGTAGAGCCACGATGAAGAACTAATTGAAAATAAATTCCTTTGCGCCATTCGTTCTTTTCACTAAAGGTCGAGATTGGACTTTTTACCATAAAGTACATAATTCTACATAATATTGAAGAAATTCCGTTTCATAGAGAACTCCTGTTCTTAGAGTGGATGAGTCTGAAAGGAACTCAGGACTGTACGCACCGGCTAGGAAGATTTTGCTAAAATTTGTATGTGTACATCTTCATCTAAAGCTTGTTAACCAATAAATGCTACACAATACATAGTATCGTCTTCATGGAACGCAATCTGATGAGGCCTTGGAAAGGAAATATTCAAATACATGCAATCCACTTATATCTGCGCACCTAAGAATGGTCCTCTGTATCTACTTTATGGTTTTGAGATATCGCTGTGGAAAATGGGTGCTGTCTTGTAACTGTTGGGTTGTGGAGGTGATGTCTGAACGAAATCTTGAACTATCACGCGGTGGCAATGATATTCACAGTCGCACAAAACGATTATGCTTCATGCTGTTCAGTTAAAACCGTTGATTTCGAACCTGTGGAGTAAAGAGGTTGGTTCGTTAAGAAAATATAAGCAGGTGACTAGCGGGAGTAAGGAGTAAACTAATGGTCTCAATCGTTTAACTGACAACAGTGGCTGGAGACAAAGAAGTCTAACTATACTAATAATTACTAGACCAAAGTTTTACGCCAATAATTCAAACACTCCAGCCGGAATATAATAGGGCCAGAAATGGGTCGTGTGTTTGTTTGGGGACAAAGATGAGAGAGACTAAGGTCAATTAAGTGGGTAGGTTGTAGAAGTTAAATGTATTCACCGTAGAATATTAAATGAGGTTTATGTTGAACCATGTATTCCCACATATTTTAACATCACGTACTTCACTGCGTGTCAGGTTTATGGTTGGAACGATAAATAATATTGACGACGAACGGTAGAAATCCAGTAACTCGCTAACTTACATAACAAATTGCATAGTGAATAAAGGAGTACTTATTCAATAACACAAATAAACTCCGAAGTTATCCACCAAAATTCGAGGTCGAGCCAAATCCCCCTGGAATGTCAGCTTGTCATCTTGCCTGAAAACTCGTCTACGAAGTTTAATATCGTCAACAAAACGCAATACAATGAGCTAATGCATTGCGTAGTTCTGATAATCTTATTTCACTATTGAAATATGTGATTATCCCTTTCATAATCTTTTGAAAAACTAAGGTATATGACATCGAAGTTCCTCTTGCTACTAAGGATGGTTCTCCATCTGTGCAGTAGGTTGCGAATACAATGGTGAAGCTCCGTGAAACCGTTCTGTTGGGGTGAAAGGAAGTTTGTGAAAAGCAAGTAGTCACGTAGACCGTCGACTATTCAGAACCAAAAAACATTCACGTCTGATTGATCACTTAGTGTTGATCAGTGTCATGTGTAACAAGTCCTTCTTAGTGCAGATCGAATGCTATCGACCACGTTGCAATGTGGCCACCAGTCTGGGTGACTTGACATTACGTGCACCACGTTGAGATCAGATGGTGGTTGGAGGTAGCCATCAAGAAACCCTGAACCCGGGTTTCGTGCTACTTGGCACTGGTCAGAAAGGTGTAACTGTGGTCTTGAGGGAACTGATACGACGTGGTCGATAGCACTCGATCTGCACTAAGAAGGACTTGACAAACATGACCTTGATCACCACCAAGTGATCAGCAAATTGTGATTACATCAGTCCTACAGGAGGTTGGTCGCGGCCCGGACAGCTCAGTGGTATAGTCTCTGACTATGAAGCTGAGTGACACGGGGTTAAATCCGTCAGGGAGCACCAGTTCCTTCAAGACCACACCTTGCTGACGAGTGCCAAGTAGTACGAAAGCTGGGTCCAGGGTCTCCTGTTGACTACCCTCAACCACCATTTAATACCAAATAACTTTTGAGGGATCTTTTGAGCGAAGTGCTACTGACCAATAAAATCTATGTTCAGCTTATCGGTCTCATTTGAAGACTGATGTAATGTGGGCCAGATTCCGACTTTCTGGCACAGTGCCTCCTCATAGCCAATGTGAGAACGTCATGCTAAGCGGTGCTGCCAAGACTGAAGTTTCTTCTCTCAGTATAGCAGAATGAACTATATCCGGGCCGGGAGAACTATGTTTGTATAGGCGCTGCAGTTTCCGCCACGCCAAGTCGGCGAACAGGTTAACTACTGAGACTCCTATGGAATCGCAAGTGAAGCTCTCATCGTTATAATTAGTATGGATCTATTGAAATGTCCGAAATCACTGTTCTGTCAGAAAATTGGCAGAGAGGGTTTGTCGCTATTGGATGGGCCATACGAACCCAGCAGTTTGGGAACGTTGGTTTTGCGTTGTCGACTGGAGGCTGCATGACTGTATAAACTTATCGGATCGTAAACAAATCTATGGATTAGTTTTATATGATACTGAAGTCTGTCATCTCTTAATGCCTTTGTGCATTGATTCATTGCTTATTTGAATTGCCTGTATGTGTTGTTGTTACCAGGTCATTCATATTCCACCCAGTACTACCCTTCGCAGCACAGCAAACGAAGAGTACAATTCTTGATAAATGCATAATGCTTGTAATTTCGGAGAACTGTTTGCGGAACTGAATACGTTGTTGCATATAAGACCATTTACTGTAAGAAAATCCGATCATCATCCACATCAAATTGAAAGTGAACTTCCCAGTCCACCTTTTATGGGTTGTCCTGTAAAACTTACACATCCAACCGTTTGAAATTCTAACGCACACTGTTGATAAGACTTATTGGCTCACGTTTGCTTATAAGACTGAAGTCTATGACGTCATGATAACTTATATCCAGAGTAGCAGTGATTGAGAGATTGTCAACCAGGAATTCTTCGTTTGTAACTACCTAGTCTAAATACGATTGCCTCTGACTATTTTTCCAACTAGGTGCTGACTTCTCATTTTCAAATAATTTAGGATCTTCATTGAGGTTGAAGAACGTAGCTTCAGTAGATTTGTCACCTTCAATGTACGTACGTTCCGCGAGATTGACTTTAAAAAGATTAAGGTATCCTAGAATCAGGATATGAGAGTATCCGAGACTAGTAGAGCCGGATATTCGATCAAGTATACAATTGTCAAACTCGATGCCAGCAATGAGCTTCCCGTAGATGTCTCCCACTAAACACCTCTAGGTGTTATACAATCTACTGAGCATCATACGAATTCATCGAGATTGACAGAGTGTACACTTAATGTGCCACCTAGAGAGATTGCAGTAGTAGGGCTGCTCCGACTCCATTCTCGTTTCCCTTTCGTTGTGAAACAAAGACGTTCCGGGCATTGCTAGCTCCTGTTTCGTAACTTGAGAAGATACCGGAGTTTCAGATATTCCTGTCAGATGAGTATTATTAACACTACTTCGTTTACGCGACTCACCCATTTTATTCAGTAAACTCATGGCGTACATATATAAGCATTTTATGCTTTCAGTTTGAAACGAGTGAGCTTCCTCATCCTGTTTATCTGAATGAGCCTTGTGTAAATGGACAGGCAGCCTATTTGCACGAGTTTACACGAGGTAATGGCTCTTATCCCTTCTACGTTTCTTTTCCACGATCTTGACAGCCCACAAGTGGAGTAGTCAATTCCAACTTACTTTTGTGCTTGATCTTTGTTTCATATGGCTTGTCCGGATGCATGTGCAGTCCGGTTGACGACCGACTTCTGTTCGCATGAAATGCTTCGAAAGTGGCAGTCTCTATATGAGATGTGAAGGTTATTTTCATTAATCGGGGTTTAGAATCCCAATCCTTCTTGGCTAGTCTCACCACTTGTTGAGTCAATATATTCTTGAATCTTACGGACTGCCTTATACATGCTCGCTAAGGAATAAAAGTGTCTGCGTCATCAGGGTTCATATTTTCTAGCACACCTTGCACATTGATATTTCTCATCCATGGATGTTTCTGAAAAGATTGTGCTCAGAATATGGTATATCAGGCAGTATTCTTACATCCGCATCTGATTTAAGCAAGTGACTATCCAGCAAAATATCCTATGAGCCGGAAGTGTTAATGGACTTTACACGAAGGAGTCTCGGGTGATTTTGATGCCTTCAATTCCACTGCCAAGTTAGCGGTGTAACTACGAGTGGTTCAAATCTGAAGAGTCCGGGCTTCCTGTTCAGCGCTTCTCAGTGCATCCTGTCATTTTTGTTTCACAGACTGAGAAGAATGACAGAGCTATCTTTACGGTCCATGATTATGAGAGAATCATCGCGAACGGTGATCGTTTTCCTAGGTTTTCATGTACCTTGAGGTTGGAATCCTTTTAGTTGGGTAGTTTGAATGAATTCCGGATTCTCGCCCTCTTAACTTACTGGTTGCACAATCTTAGGGATAAGATGCTTGGCCAAAACACTAGCTGATTTGACCACATAACCTGAACTGTTCAGTCTTTTTGATAGTGACACTCTATCCTACTTAACTATGTTGGCGGAGGTCTTGTCGCCTACAGAATTTTGGGGGACCACAGATGCACTTAGGGAGTCTGTGTCGGAAGACCTGAGCTTGACGAGCGTCTAACACTGTTGACGTTATGTTGTTACTGAGCTTCAGCGTGTTCTCACTAGTGCTGATGTGTGTTCTATCAATATTACTGGTGTTAAAGATTCCCTTTTCTATTTCACTATGCGCCTTTGTATGTCCGTTTCGGGACCGCCTATTTTTGGTTGGCTGACGACAATTTACTTAAGGCTGTCAAGAGAATTATGACTTTATCCAACAAATCCTTAGTACCATGTTTCAACTGCTTCATACCCACCTACGATCTGTTTTACTAAGTGTGTTGTAAGCACTTACTATAACATACGTGGATTTCTCATTAAACCAACCTTTTCATTTGCATGGGTTCTTCAGGATCACGGTTACATGTGAGTTGTTAGATAAATTCTAGCGAGTTGACGACCGTAAAACAAACAAGAAACGATACTATTGAAATGGATAAAAATGGATGGTTCAAAAGGCAAGGATATATTAAAACTAGTATTGACATTGAAAACAGCTGAGGCAAAATCACAGATAAAAGTAAGAGCAATGAGCGTACTTTTGTCAGGCAATCAAGTACACTAATTTTAGTTACATGACTTAGTCATTTATTACGACAGTTGCATTGAAATTAGATTTACTTGGCGCACTATCTGCTACTGTGCGTTGTGACCGGTTGCGTCCGCTTTTGTTGCGCGCTTTTCAGTCTGCTTGTTCATTCAGTACGTTGTTAAATATTATGAGGAAAATATGATGAGCTGGGTTATCGTTTTACCTTCTTGAATATTTTTTTGTACTTCCTACTTATAGATAGTTCCCTGCTTGTTCACTGCCAGGTCCGTGTTTTCCAATCACTGACGGAACCTAAAGAGTCAAGTGTTGAGGCCCTTTACATGTGGTATGTCTTGGATTTACTTGTCCTTTACCTAGCTGTACCAAGATTGTGCATATAATGTATTCTAACCTGTTTATTCTCACCAGTAGACGTTTTCAGACATAAAACTTCTCGACTACTTTCTATCAAATCCAGTAGTGTTTGCACGTGGTATCTTGTACTTAGTAATGAAATTCTTTTTTACTTCGTTCGTTTATTCGAGGCCGTTTTAAGGCATTTTTGGCGATGCTTAGGAGTTGATTTAGGTCCTTTAAAGGATAGAAATAAACCGCATGATATTCATAAATCCTGTTAACGGTAACGGAATTCCATTCGTTCTGTGGATTACGCATAATAACCCCCTAGTTTCAATTGTGTTATATAAAAGTTATGTTGTTAGTCGTCTTAGATGTCCGTAAACTCTCTCCACTTCAGCGTATGAGTCCAAGCGCTGTGTATATATATATTGTAGTTGGGCTCGCTGTCAAGTTCCAGGGATCAGTATTGGAAGTTCTTAGTGCACGTAAACTTCGCAAAGCACAAGAAAGCTGTGAAAATGGGATGACCTAATCCATTGAGCGAAGTTATCCCCTACTTAAAAATTCCCCCGTGGTATTATTTATCTACTGGTCGGTTTCGAATACATGGTTGCTAAATATCCTAACCTAGAATAGGAACTGTTTCGCATTTGAATTTGTCTTCCGTGAATCTTCGGGCTTCATTACAATGAGCCATGTTTCCGGAGATTTATGCTCACATATTTTCTAAGACTCATTACCTATGTACTACCGCCTACAGCAGATATCTGAACAATAACTTTGTCCTACCATATACAGGTGACCACGTGTTGACTATGAGGTGGGTAAACAAGCCCTTATCATTCGTCATCCCATCTAAGTCCTTAGTATCATCATATGGTGTCCTGATTGTTACTGGGATTCAATGGTACTCCGTTTATTTACAATTTACTGGGTATTGGAAGATGAACATAACCATAAAAACTGCTATATTACATACTGGTATTTAGCTTTACAAGCGATGGACTCACCTAATTTTATGAACTTATACTCGATCTAGTTTAGATGGTAAACTGTACTGTGCAAAGACTTTCTAAATACCATGTTCTGAAATGTATAGTAGTTTCGAGATGAAACCGAGAATCGTTCTTGTAACCTATGATGATATGTTTCTGAACGAAAATCTTGGGATTGACAAGAAAGTTTGCCAAGTAATTCTTATCAACAGGGATTGGTTATAAACTAGAAGTTGCTTATACATTCTGTGTATTTAGGTCGTGAGATATTTGTCAATTAATACATATTTGTCTACTGCCACCGTGCCTGTACTTGTCTCTGATATCGCCTCCACTTGATTCTGTTGTTTAGTAGTCCTACTGTGTATGACAATCAAGGTATTTTACTTAAAGTTTTGTTAATAAGATTCATACGTTCCAGTGACGTATACTGTATTTTGAAGCCTTTCTGAATAATTACCTTCTCAAGACTCAATTTCAAAGTTTTTTGCTTGCCACTCAGCACTCGTAGACTAGGTCATCCAAGTGGTTGTATGCAATAGTATTATATGTATGGCTTTCATTCTGGGTCTTACTCTGATACATTTATTAGGCATCAAAAACTTTTGTCTCGTTCCACTAATTAAGGTGGTTTGATACATGGCAAAAAACAATTCCATTTTCACTCATAAACTCTTATATGTATTATTTTTATAAATGCATAAAACCATCTTTCTCCATTGTTCGATTCAAGCAGTGGAGTCAGACACGGTTGTCCGATCTCACCAGTCCTCTTCAACTTTGCCATCAATGACATTCTGGAAACAGCTCTGATGGATGTAAAGTAATGGTGGTGTGGATCTGTTGCCTGGAGAAAGACTTCTCGACCTTGAGTATGCGGATGACATTGTCCTACTGTGCGATAATGCACAAGGCATGCAATCCGCACTTAATTAGTTGACAATCAGTGTCCGTAGGTACGGTATGTGCTTTGCACCTTCGAATTGCAAAATACTTCTACAAGACTGACAGGATTCTAATCCTGTACTCACCCTGGATGGTGAGCAGATAGAAGTAGTTGAGAAGTTCGTGTATCTAGGTGGCTACATAAGTGCTGGTAGTGATATCAGCGACAATACCAATTCACGTAAAGTGAAAAGCAGAGCGGCTTATGCCAATTTAGGCCTTTTTTAGCGCCTTCATGATGTTAGACTGGCTGAAAAGGGTCGGATCTACAACGCGTCAGTGAGAGCAGTTTTGTTCTATGCTTGTGAAACCTGACCTCTCCGAGTTGAGGATGTCAGACGACTCTCTGTGTCTGATCACTATTGTACCCAATGGATTGCTGACATCCAGTGGCAACATCATGTTAGTAATGAAGAAGTTCGGCATCGTGTGTTCGGGCGCAGAGACGATAATTCAATTGGAGTCACTATCGTGAAACATCGAGTTCGGTGACCTGGACATGTACTACAAATGTCGTCCCAGAGAATTCCACGTCGTACGTTATTTGGCGACGCTGGGACTGGTTGGAAAAAGCGGAGAGGTGGTCAATATATGACATGGTGTCGTGGTATGAAAGAAAGCTACAAAGGGCCGGCTTCTGTTGGTCCTTCTCGACTCCTTGGCTGGGGTCCGAGAGATGGTGCAACACAGTGACTAGAGACGTTATCAGATATGACTCAGAATAGAAGCCAGTGGCGATCCTGCTGTAACCTTCTTTTACTTTCTTCATAAAAAGTGGTTGTACCTTCCTTAACTAAAAGAACTCTTCTGGTTGTACCTTTCCGTTTCCCCCGTTATTATTATTATTATTATTATTATTAATTATTATTATTATTATTACACTACCATGCGCTAATCTGTGGTCGTTATTGTTCTCTATTTTCCTTTCTCCTCTCTTATACGCGCCTTACATCTTTTTTCTCTCCCCGTCCTCATTGTTATTGTGTGACGCATATATATTTGGTGCCCAAGTGTACCAATATTTATGTGTTCAAATAAATAAATAAATATTTTTATAAATATTTCGTCTTTGTTTATAATAAGGATGCCATCAATAGAAGGTGCACGTTTGCCTTTGAATGCAGAAGGTTTTTCATAACAACTACTACTACCATCCTTGTACAACAACTAAGCTTCCTAAATATGTAGTTCACTTCTTATTCAGTTCAAAAACGACCACTACTCATTTTTAAAAATAGGTACAATGATTTTTATCATCACATATGGATTTTACTTGTTGTTTTATTAGAATGTACATTACTTGCTGTTCAGCCATAATAACTATGTACCCCTAACATTTGAGCTTTTAATTACCTTCTCTTAGATTCATGTCTTCCGCCAAGAGTTTGAAATCTGGCTTTGTATCATTACAACTGAACCAAGTAGAATGGTGTGTTCCCTCAAGATACAATGAACTTTCGATGATCGGGTATGGGGCGTACGGAACTGTTTGGTATGTCAGCATTAACAAACCTTACATACACTTATATTTATCAATATATCCCCGAATATTGTTTTGTCTTGAGTTATCTTTTACTGAGCATTAGTGACATCTCATAATTCCGATCAAGTAGCCAACTAATAGGATCGCTGTCACAGAATATCTATAACGCTTTATTTTGCGTTGTTTCTTTGTGCTCTGCTGATTGAGTAGTTTAACGTGCAGACTGTTTAAAATAAAATAAACCTTGGTACTAAAGCTATCGTTTGTTGAATGGGATTAATGCAATTTAAACTACGTCACACGTGTTTTGTGTCTTGTAATTGTCCTCGAATATGTAATTTACTCTCACCTCATTGCACAGTTGAAATATTTGCTCTCCAATAAACAATCGATAAGAGTAGTACTCATTTAACCCCGGAAATCAACGGTTCATTAAGTTTAAACTCAGCTCATTTTCATCAACCTTTAAAAAGATAAGTTTTAATCTATTGAAAAAAATAAGGGAAGTTTGTATGTTGGCAACTTTAATTTCAAAATTTCTATAGGAAGAGACTAAAATTCTTTATTTCCTCCTGCTGCGCTTAAACATTTCAACTGTTTTATAAATTTTAGTTTTATGGTAAGGAATTCACCAAATAGTCATAAAAAATGTATCCGATAATTTTGTTAGTTTTTCCAACAGTAAAATTAAGGTTAATTATTTAGTCGGTTAGTCATAGCTGACTTAGGGCCCGCTACAAATATAACTTATTTCAAGTTGATGTGTTAATACTATGAGATGAGAGTAGCAAGATGAGTAGGAAAAAAATTCTAATAATGTTGTAGCAATGGTAATGAGAAAGACTAAACATCTATCTTATGGTTTGAAAAAACGATAAAAAGTCATGTGTGAAAGAAATCTGTAACTGAAGATCCAACGAGAGATAAAGAGTGAATGTATCTGCTTCAGAGTGATCGTTTATAAACCTTGCTACCCAATATCTTCAGCTACTAATTGTTATTTCGCGGACTCCAACTAGATAATCTACATCTACGAACATGGCTTAAACAAACAGTCATTTAGGATGGAATATGTTATATCCGAGCGAAGATTAAATCACGAGTAACTTCTGAGACATACTAATTGACTAATATTATCCATACATTCTTATGGTATAACTATTCAATAATTAGATTATGTATATTTATATTCCTCTTATTATAAGCTTTATTTTGATATATAATTTATTATTGTACGATTTACGGTTCTTAAGCTATGTTCAGTTTATTAACTACTACCTCCCACGTTCACAGCCACTTTTTGGCTTTATTGTGTACAAATGTTATTTCCTATTTTATGGTGCGTTGCGGTCTGTTTGATTGACATTTAAACCCAGTATGTCTGAAATAAATGATTCGATTCGATTCGCATATTAGAAGCTGCTATTCGGTGTTCTGGACTCAAGTGGACGGGCTAGGCGAACATAGGACCAATAAGAACGCTAGACTCCCCATACCGGTCGAACGTCATTGGTTTGGTACAGTACGAAGATTGTATAAGTCTCATTTTGATTGGTGGGTAAATCAGGTGATAAAAAGTCGGACATAAAGTCATAACAGGATATTTAGCCCATACTTACTGTTCTAGTTGTAAAAATTAGACAACGTTACTTGATGGGATGGTCAAGCATCAAAGACAAAGTACAATGTGTGCATCTCTGATATGAGAAAGGGGCAGAGTTATTTGAAAAATAACTTTGGAAGCTCATTAAAACCCGTTTCCGTCTCCATTTTTATGAAGTTTTTCATACTCTTATATCTCACGTTTGTTAGAAGTCGTAATTCGTTTGCTTGTTCGCACTTGGGAAATGGGTTGTCCAAGTTATTCTCCAGTAGTATGTATGTTATTATTTCTCGAGGTTAACTCCCATCACATAATTTTCCAGCTTGATCTTATAATCTCTATTTTCTTGCCGATGTGACTGTTGTTATAGCGTTTAAGTAATTGTAAATTTCTCAGTGTATGTTAAATACCTCACTCATCTGTCATGCTGCATAAGTAATTTTCCATTATTAATTGTTGTCGTTTATCTGTTTTCCTCAATATATGCAGTTCTGCCCACGATAACAAACTAAACCGTCGTGTAGCCATCAAAAAGTTGAGTAGACCCTTTGAAAATATTGAATATACGAAACGAACATATAGGGAAATCAATATTTTATCTCAAATGGATCATGAAAATGTAAGTCATTAAAAATGTGTTTCTGGCCATCAGATCCAATACTCAAAAGAGTATTGGGTCTGTAGTTTGTTAGGAAAGCAATCGAATAACTAATTACTTGACAATTTCAGGTTAACTTAATTGATGTTGAAATAAGTACATACGTAATGTTTTATTTTGTAGCTACAGTTAGTTTTGAAGTTCCAGTTGACAGTTTATTGCTCCACACTAATTTCCTTTGCTGAAACTAAGCATAATGTACATCAACTTATGTTGTGAATTACCACTCATTTGTTATTATGTACCCAAGTACTACGACACTAGCCATTACTATGGTTTCGATATATGTAACAATTATTATAATATTTAAATAGTTATAGGAAATCTTCAAATGATCCTATTACTAATCAATCAGCAAATTGTTGCAGTTAGTGATAATACTGTTAAGGTGTGAAGTTCATTATTGACCTTTTCTAGAAACTGGATTAATTATATAATCCGTCGCATCATAATATTGTCGTATTGTTCCCCTCAGTACTGATAAGCTTACTGTTCGCCATCATTAATTTAAGTGACTTAGTAGTAAATTACTATATAATTTGATTTAATTAACTTGTTAACTACTAGTGAAGGTGGTTGTACCTCTAAATCTGTAACTGTTATATCTACGCTTTTTAGAACTACAGGAAGGTATAAAATAATTATTAAAAACGATGTAACTCGTATTCTGAGCGGGATTAAGCTTGAATCCATATCATACTGTGTTTGTACGACTTTTAGAACTGTTTGCTGTAGTATTATTTTTTCTTGTCGGTCATCGATAATTAAATTGGCACCAAGGTTTTTAAATTAATCATGGAAGTATTGTGTTTTTTATGTGAATTTCAACTAAACATTCCACCAGTCTGCTTTTTTATCTAATAATTAATAAGTTTTAACGCCTGGATATTGTTGTTTTATCAATTTTTCTAGCATGATTTTTGAGTTAGATTTAAGTTTGCAATAACGAATCAGTTTATTGTAGAATCATAGATTCTTTTACTCTACTGATACACGACTTTAATAGCTCTCGTTTCAAGTCGTGTTGTAGACTACTAAGTTATGGTAGTCAATTCTTGTTGCTAGTCTCTTTAATGTCACTTGATCACCAATGCTATTTGTATTCTTCTTTCTATTCTTACAGATCGTTTGTTTGATTGATGCCTTTTCACCACAGACATCATTAAAAGAATTTACAGATATGTATGTTGAAATTTAAAGTTTAGAATTTGATTTTTGAATGAAATTATTTTTATAGAAATGATAGTTTAGTTTGTGACTTGAAACGATATTTCAAACATGTCATGTGACGGTATTTTAATGTAGTTGGTAACAAAACAGTAAATAACGATTGGTTATCCTTTGACAAAATTATATACTCCCTTTATGTCCAATAATTTTCCAGACTGATCTACATCCAATTTTAATGAGAAGTAGCAAAATCTCAGTGTATTCGCAAAACTTTGGGGGTATTTATGGTGATAAAACAATTTTTTTCAAGCGGATCAGACGTTTCAATAAGAGCCACAAAAATTGCAAGGTTGGTGCAATGGTAAAACAACCGTGTACCACCATTATTTACCTTAACATCGAACTTGTGTAGTGTAATGCCGCTTCCGATTCCGGACTCTTTGTCTGGATACTTATTAACGAACCGAATTTAAGCAGATCGTCTGTACATGTAATTATAGCAAATCACGTATTTGTGGAGCTATATGAAACGACGAGGTAGATGATGAAAATAAGTTTTGAAAACCTTCATCAGTGAACAATGAAATAAGAAATACTCCAAGTTTATTGCTGCAAATGGGTAGTACTTCTAAGGAAATAAAGTTGGTGTACCGTGAATTTCAGATAATAAGATCTTATGATTGCAGTCTGCTTTTTGTTAGACAGTTTATTCATGTAATCCAATATCTACGTAGATTCGTGTACTTAGCCGTAAAGTAAACCCATTGTGTTTAATTTGAACGCACTAACTGGTTTTAAAGATGAAGTTCACCTACTCACCAATTGTTGCACAAATATGAAGGATAATTTAATGGTGAGTCATATTGTGTAAATAGAACTTTAGTTGACAAAAGTCAGCCATTCATTTGAAATCCTACTGAACTGTTAGTTAAAATAATTAGTGTTTACTGCATTTTTGCATCTGGTGTAAATATGCCGTGATTATCATATTAACAAATCCGAAAGTTTCAGTCATTAATGTCTATGATGGCTAGACGAAATGTATTTTATTTGTTTCTAAGGTTAATACAACCGTATTTAATAAAATGATGAGTAAATACTTTGAGAAGCTAGACATAAGTATGTTATTTAGTCTTAAATACACATTGGTTATCAGCAAGCTATTGCTCTTGACATCTGTGTTCGGTAAATACATGCATTTTGTAGTAATTTTTTATTGTTTGATTAAATTTTTCTCACCAGTTATCTAGTAACACCATTGATGGGTGCTGATCTTGGAGCTATTATTGAAACTCAATCGTTATCAGATGAACAAATACGTTTTCTTGTGTATCAAATTTTAAGGGGTTTAAAAGTAAGTTGAGTTAACTTAGAGGAGTACATTTTATCATCGTCTAAGTAAATTTCAATATTATTGGAAAATTCCTTAATCAAATACAGTCTTGGTAGTTGCTTAAATTAAAGTCCTATGTTGTCTTCATTCACATGTTTTGGAACTACAGCGGTATGCTTCCTGTTTTTTTCTTCTACATGCACTTGATGATTCGTTTTTCTGCTTTGTGTAGTCACATGCTATTATTTAATGTAATCATGCGTATTATTTTATTTCGTTTCATAGTATATGCACAGTATTGGCTTAATTCACCGAGATTTGAAACCAGCTAATATAGCAGTAAATGAAGATTGTGAATTGAAAATTCTCGACTTTGGCTTAGCACGACAAAAACAGGAAGAAATGACTGGTTATGTTGCAACTCGTTGGTATCGAGCACCTGAAGTTATGTTGAATTGGATGCATTATAATGAATCTGGTAATAAAAAATGCATATTTACTCTTACGGTTTATCAATTTCTTCAACCCTTCTTATTCACAGAAATGTTAATCTTTACGTTTTTTTTCATAAACACCAAGTTCATAGAAAATAAATCTGCAAATATACTCTTTCTTCTTTTTATCGTATGATTATCAATAACAGCACAAAGGAAGCTTCTCAGTTGTCAACAGCTTCGATGGAGAACAATCTGTAATAGTAAAAATAGTTAAGCGATTAATCAATGTTTGTCAAGTCGTAATTTCTGTGTATTCTTCTGGACAGTTGTTACTGAAGTTGTTTTACGTATATGCTAGACATAAATATTCTGGACCATTATTGTTTTCAATTTGTGTACTAGTATTATAAAAACCAAGCATAATGATAGAGAGTTTTACTTTCAAAATTATATCTACCTTAATTTTATGATTTTCTACCGTCTTTATAATTGTTTCTCAATGGCTGTCAAGATTTGAGTTCAATCTCTGACACAGGTGTTTCCATACTTTATCTTCCAAATGCTGAAGGACTTGTTGTTCTGTATTACCGATTCCTTGCATTTACCACTGTCTCTGACTTGTTCTCTTCTGAATATCTTTTGCTCATATAAGCTGGATACCATTTTATCCAATTACACTATCAATAACATTGAATGGAATTAAATAAGGATATCTATTTGATGTGTTTAAAATGATGAACCTTGTAACCCGTACTATTGTGTTGTGTGATGCTTATACGGACAGATGTAAATAGTATGTATCAAGATTTGGAAGTAGGATCCTTACTGACACAAGAGGAACATGAGGAGAAGAGAATGAAAAGCAAAGGCAGTCAGAGTAGCAACAAGAATGGAAGAACGATGGCGTTTGTAAGAGACAATTCAAGGAAGATGTACAATTGGTGTATTCAATGTATTGTTTTCATATCTTACAAATGCTATGTGATTTCGCATGAAACAATGAATTGGTTTGCCCTAACCAAGTCTTCGTTCATCACACTATCAGTAAACTTTGAATTATTCACATGTTATTATCGATCAGCTTATCGAACATATGTATTATATTGAAGAAGATTAATGGTTTCATTTTTTTTTAATTTCTCCATTTTTTTCAGTTGACGTTTGGTCCGTTGCATGTATTATGGCTGAATTGCGAAATCGTGCACCTTTATTTAAAGGTGGTAATCATATTCATCAAATTCAGTTGATTCTCAATTTATTAGGAAAACCTGATGAAGAATTTATGAAAAAAATTAACAGTCCTGAAGTAAGCGATTTGTTTTTCTATCTATCTAATTTACTATTGGTATTCTTTTCTCTTGTGATTGTATTGAATAACATGTTTTTAAGTACATATTCGTTTTGAGAAATACTAAATAAAATGTTGGCTTACTTAATTCTAACCAGTAAAGATCAAGTGAACCATGATAATTTGAGGTATCATATAATATTTGGATTCTAGTTTTAGTATTTATTAGAGCTTCGATATTAATTTAACGTGAATAGCAGTAGTTTTCCTATGTCTTATTTAATAAAATTTTTCAAACATAAACGAAAATATTTACTTTGTTTTATCTGGCCTCTTAGCGTTAAATGTAGATACCATATTGTCCAAATATTTGTATTTTTTGATGTTTTTATAACTTATCTGTCTATATATATGTAGTGGTTTTGTAGTTGCTCAATTTGATGGTACTTTCATCATGAATCGACCTCACTATAGCAACTATTTCCAGTTCTTGGCAAAACTTACCTTCTACCTGGCATTTTTCTTGTTACTATTCCGTACTATGTTAATAATGATTTATCTGTGTTTTACATATGTCTGTTTGAGCATTAGCGTTTGCCTGAAATATGTTTGAAAGCCCCGATTAATTTCATTTTTCTTATGTGATAAAAGTTTTTGGAGTTTATTTTTCCAACTGGCGGTTTATATGGAAGTGCGAAACATCAAATTAACCATGAAGAGACTTGGTTACGAGATTTTCATATTAAAATATTCTCTTATTACACGATACTGTTAGAAAGACTGCTTCATATCTTGCTTGTTTTGTAAATTACTCTGTTAGGAAAAGTAAGAAAACATTTCAAATAACACTTGGCTATGCATTTTGCAGAAAATTTTAACTAACTAGGTACCTATCTATTCTGGATATGTTCATAACTACTTAAATAATTTGGCCTAACACGCATCTTTGCCAAGCTGTATATTGGTGGTGATTGACTAACTCTATTCCTTCTTCGTTTTATATTTGCCTGAAACAAACTTACACCCTTTTCTACTTAAAACCAACACTTTTCTTTACAATTAAAAGTTTTGGTTTGAATCCAGCCGTTTTCACCAATTTTTTTCCTTTAAAAATAATTTCAAGAACGACAAAAACCCAATGTTAGATGTAAGTTTCCTGTAATCTCTGTTTAGTAAATTAATCAACAGTGTGAACCTATTTTTTGGTAAATTAATTAATAATATAGTGATCTACTAGGCAAATTAGATAGTATTGACAGTTACCACTCACTAATTATCTTTTTGTAACAAAGCCCACTATTCAAACAAATTATCAGCTGTTCTCATGGGTTTATTGCTTGTTGCTGATCACCATACTATTAAATTAACCATAAGCTAATATCTTATATCAAACTATATTATTATTCATATATGAAGCTTCCGTTTATTCATTGTGTATAAAAGTCAAATTTCGTTTGTTCAATGTAATTGGTGGTATACATGTCATACCCTATATTCCATTGTTTACCAACTTCTAGTTTCCAATAATTTAACTCTCTCATTCATAGTATCATTTCAACACAATATACTTCATTTGTTATTAAAAACACCTTTTAAATCTGATGTTCTAAGCGACTTCATGAATCAAAACATGATTTTTTATATCGACATGAAGAGCTGTGATACCACTCTACTGCTCAAACTAAAATAAACAAAGTGGCTCAGTGTATAAGGCACTTGAGTTTCAACTGTTGAATACTAAGTACTAATCCCGCCTTACCCTTTTTGGTTTGCGTATTCGAGCATTATCACTATCTGTTGCATAAAAGGAGTAACTTCAAATCTAGTACATAAACTAATAGTTTTTTAGAACTTTAGCTTCACACTGGATTCGACAGTTTACTATATCTTGCGTTCACATTAATAATTAACTGACTTTTAGGCTTTACAAAGAATGCAAAATGTAATACTTCTCCATAATAGTTATTACAATGCTATGGAATAGTTGAGGCATATTAACTCAGAATATCATATATCAGGTTATTAGTTCAAATAGTTCTGTTTATTTTACTTAGGATAATCAGTTAATATTATTTAACATTTCATAATTCACCATTAACTAAACAACTTTGAACTTATGTGACAAGTTGAATTATTGTAGTTCTCTAAACATACAACGTGTGTAAAACAGTAATAACCTCGTGAAACAAGTTGTAGAGTAAATGTAACTATTATTTTGAAGCATATATCTCGTGTCATGCATGATTAAATCAAAAACAATTTACATTATCACTGCGTTTGTTCATATTTCATACTATTAGTGTTTATTTTTCCAGATGAGTTCTTCACCAATACTTTTTTTCTGAGCGTGGTTCCTTTCTTTTTTTTATCGGTTTACATAACTAACTGTACAGAACAAATTATCTTGTAAGCTGATGTTATTAGAGAACACTAAATTAATCTTATTAATAATTATATTTGACTGCATTCTTTTATAATAATAGTAAAGCATAAATATGAAAATTTGTTTAATTGATAATTTTCACTTATACAGTCAACACCTACATAAATCGATTGCTTCACATTAAGATGAAACCATACACAACCCATAAAATAATATTTTATGAGAATAAATTTACAACCAACACTAAATGTTTGTAATAAATTATCGAGTATCAATAAATTTTCAGTTCATAGATGGCTAATTTGTAATTATATTCACATTAGAAACTAATTTTATTGTTTTTCATTGGATTATTTAAGTGTTTATTATTATTATTATTATTATTATTATTATTATTATTATTATTATTATTATTATTACATTGTCTATTCCATAGTTTATATACATATCAGAATGATTATCATATTTAATACATGTTTCTCGTGTTTATATATATATATATATATATATATATATATATATATATATATATATATTCATTTGTCTTTTACTTTTGAAGAATTACCGATGATATATTATGACATCACGGCATGTAATTGTGATGTTAGCTGAATAAATAACCGTTCGTTTAAACATGATATTTACTACTTTTTAATGATATAAAGCCTATCATTCTAATGTTTACATTCTGCAAATGACTTCTAAAGATATGTTACATCTAGGTGTGTTTTTTTTCATATATTTTCAAGTAGTTGGTGTTATCATTTGATCTAATAATATGAAATTAACAGTAGTTATTTCGAATTAATTTAATTTGACTGATCCGTAGCATATTTTCCACAAAACTAAAAAACAAATAGAAAGTGTATGTTTAAGAAGAATATCAAAATAATATCAAATAGTTATTTGCGTTATTCAGGTTTCATACTGCATAACAGACTACCCTTCGTCTGTTGGTTCTGTTTTAACTCTAGTTACATCTTGTATTTTAATGTTAAACCACCGGATATTGCAGTGCAATATTTTTTCCGTGGTTGCTTTCTTATCTTTACAACATTAGCGCTTATAAATTTCTCCCTTCATTATGTGCTAACTTATACACTTTGATACACCTATAATTAACATAATGATTATCCGTCACAACATTTAGTCATTATTATGCTGATTGAATTACTGATTACTCCTTCCATTTCACTGTCAAACGTAATTTGTCACTTGTTTTTAACAAAATATTTAATTCACAATCCTCAGTTGTCTTACATCACTACATCAAATTTTAGTGAGGTCTCACCTCAATGGTTAAGGTTTTCACTTTTTAACTATTTAGTTTTACCTCTTAATATGATTCCAGTCTGGGAAAATGGCAACTATTATCACTGTTGTTCTACACATGACATGGGTGACGTAATATATAGAATAAAAATTTAAATTGAACTCCCTTTTGCGATCCTCATTACAGATACTACTACTACTACTACTACTACTAATAATAATAATAATAACAATAATAATAATAATGTAACCATCTATTTTTAGAAAATCAGAACTATTATTTTTGTAACTATTCTAAATAAGATTTTATATCTAGCCCAAAATATTGTTTTATTGAGTTATTTTTGTAATAAAATTGCATTGTTGTAAGTTATTTATTGTTAAAGTTCTCTTTTTAACCTTGGAACTGATTCTTATGTAAAGGTTTCTCCTGTACTGCATGTATGCATCCATGTATTTATTCATTAATGTGTTCAAGTATATATGTTTCCATCCTGTTATAATCAGTCATTATATTCAAACGATAAGGTTATTTAATATGACAGTCAATCAATTTCTCAGAGGTTTTTAAATAATTATTTCAGTCATTATCTTAGGAGACTTTAGTTTATAGCTAGTTTTCATTACGGACAAGTATTAGTTTGCAAACCATTCAGGACTACGTAACACCAGACAATTGTTTCATTCTATTCTAGAACTCCTCACTCGTGACACCATCAGAATCTTGTGTTCTACCTCAGACGACGTCAGTCAGTTATGAAAGTGAACTGTTTATTGTTTTGGTATATGAATATTTCCAAAAGAATATTAGTTGTGTATCCAATATTTACCTACTTTATAAAGCACTGAAGTATTTTCCTTTCGCTATCATTCTTTAATCACTATCTGCTTTTGATTTACTCATATTACTTACTATTTATTTACACACGTAAAGATTGGTACAAATTGGTACCAAATATACATGCGCCACACTTCGTCATTCCACCTGTGTGTGGGCCGGGATACTACCCGGGTGCCCGGACCGAAACAGGTGGTTTTCTTAGGAGGTCACTTCCTAAGCCTTTCACCTAGATGTCTAATCCACAATTTAGTGGAGCAGCGTTAGGAGATGCAGTCCTATGATAGCCGGTGACCAACGATTGCTTCATACGCCCTTTGTCCCTTCAGGATACTGGAGCCCATGTACACCATTGGTTTGGAATCAGGGTTTTCCAACTCCCTTAGGTGGAGCCGCCGTGTCCACTGGCCCGGTTAAAACGCCGGACATTCGCTTTTCGTCCTCTCATTTTCGTAAACAATACTACCGCCACGAGAAGGCAGTGAGTAGGACTTGCCTGACAGAGGCTGTGTACGCGTGGCCGTGTGAGAGCATTTGGAGAGGGAGCGCGGGCGCACCCCACTCTTAGCCATACCAGGGCATTTGGGTGCTTAATCATATTGCAGGGAATTATAAATTATATTTTGATTAAATCGAGTATAGATTTGATCAATATTGGTCATATTTACTGTTTTATACTTCATCTGAAATTAGGCATAACAATATGATCAATAAATATAAAAATACTACTATTAGTTCAAAATTTATATTTTTCCGTTTTCGGATGGAAAGTATCTTTTCTATGCTTATCCTCATTAATATTACTTCAGATTCAACTTAATAACAAACAGCAGTACATAGCTTCCACGTAACTGCAAATTCTTTGCTTTGTTTTTTCAATCATTTTAGCATCCTGTCTCATACAAATTCATTTATATTTGCATTTTTTTATTTTTAAAGGCATGTGGATTTATCCGTGATATTAGTAAATGTGAACCACAAAATCTGTACACATATTTTTCTTCTTTTTCAAGTGACGGTAAGTTAATAAGATGTAATTCGTATGTTTTTTAAGTTCATGTTTACGTGAAATGAATTCTCACTCGACGTCTAAATAGTATCTGGCTTTTTACAAAAATCTAAATATCTTGGCTTCTATTCTATTTGAGTTTGTCACTTTGTACATATTGTTAATGAGTCCAAAACAGTAACGTTATGACTGTTTTACTGCTTCCTAATTTTTAATGGTACTATGATCAATGTCGGCTTATGTTTCATAAAATTGCTGGTTAGATTTTATTTATTTAATTTTTATTCTATACTACATCCATGGAGGCGTTTTATAATTCATGCGACTAATACCACTCATCGATAAATTCATACGGATAACTATTTCCTTGTTGATATTTTTCACTATCGTGCATTAAGAAAACTCGTTCTTTGTATTCTTGTGTAATGGTAGTGGTAATAATGCCGAACATTTTCGTTTAAACTCCCATGGATATTTTTACTATATATGATAATGACAAAATATATCGCCAACTCTGTTAACCATCTCGAAGGTTTATTCGGAAACATTTCTTACAAGAATTCGGTTGATATCGAGTAGAAGATACACGTAAGCTACTAGTATTTGACCACAGATGCCTTAGAAATATTGCTCGCATCTTCTGGGATCACCAGGTAAGTAATAGTGAAGTTAGACGTGGGGTATTAGGGAATGATAGTAATGCAGTTGATGAGGTTGTGAATCTTCATCGACTGAGATGGTTGGGCCACGCGTTGTGTATGCCTGAACACCGATTACCACGACGTGCAATGCTAACTGGTGTTGGGGATGGTTGGAAGAAAGTTAGGGGTGGCCAAACTAAGACGTGGCATCAGTGCTTGAAGTCACTAACTTGTAGTCTGAGCCATGTTGGTAGATGCAGACTACTTGGTTGGGGTCTGCGTGACTATCGTAACGAATGGTTGGAGACTGTGTGGCATGGCTCAGAACCGATCACAATGGCGTAGGTGTATACACTCTCTGTCTTCCCTTAAACTGAGATTAAAATTGCTTTATATCTTTCTTTCTACGAACTAATTCTTTCTTCCTGTATTATATCCTTATATGCATTCTTTTATATATTACTACCATTGAAGTAACTACTTCGGTTTGGGCACCCGGGCAGTATCACAGCCCTCAGACATATCAAATGAGATTTGTGTGGCGCATATGTATTTGGTGCCTCCTTGTACCAATATCTATGTGTTAAAATAAATAAATCATAAACAAATTGTGCTAATGAGGTATGGCACCTTGGACCGATGCATTTATGTGCCTGGTCCTACGTTGTAGCTGACTGGTTGATATCGAAGTTTTGGTTTCATATTAATCATAAATTTCCCTGTTCAGATTTGTATTATAAAGGATCTTCTAAGGAAGTTATTGTCTCGAACAACAAAAGCTCTGTGTCCTTACAAATGTGTTTTAGTTTTTCTGCTTTCAGTGATTGAATAGATGTTGGCTAACTAAACATATTCTCGTTCATAGAAGAATATAAATAAATCTATTTAATTATGTTCGAATACAATGTTAATGAGTTATTTTATTGTCACTGACTCAAACATTAATAAAATAATCGTTTCAATTGATGATTTAACAGATCAACGGTTACATTAATACGTGATTCTCCTTTTCCGTGTCATTTTAGTCTTCAATGCTTAAAATGTCAGAGTATGCGCCTTATTTGAGATAATATTGAAAGAGTTTCTTTAGCGATTATTGTAAGTTATATACTCGTGTTATCTCAATAGCTCAACAGTTGTTTTCAAACGTATGGTGATTTTCATTTCAATCTGTATAATGTTGATGTTGTGGTCTCTGCTCTGGATGGTTTGGTTATGAGGCTTTCACTGTCCTTCTGGACAACATTATTAGCGCATATTTAAAAGAGACGTCTACATGATCCCAAAATTGTATTACTGGTTTTTAATGTTTGTCCCATTATCATGAGTAACCAAGGCTAATGACCTTTTTGTTATTTATACATGAAATAGTTAAACTTCAAAGTGATCGGAATATTACCTTATGAATCATTTTACTCCCACTCTATTATTCATTGGTTTTTAAATTGACTGAACATATTTAAGTAAGATGATTTTCATTTGAAACTCCAGAAGAAATTATATACAGTTTCGTGTTATATTGTTCTTGTTATTATTTATTAACTGAATTATAAATATATGAATTATCGGAGTTGTTCGGTCTTTGAATTATAGTCATTTGTAGTTTTGGATATTTCTGCTTGTCTGTTTTTGGGAATTCTTTATTCATTGATTTGCTTATAACCATTAGATGCTTTAATATAACATCCATATAATGTTCCGTACTTAAGATAAATATATTTTGACATCGTGATAATGCAAAGGTTGTTATGGTACACCTTTTCCTTTGCGTTTTCTTATTTTTAAAGCTGTTGATTTATTACAAAAGATGCTTCACCTTGATCCAGATCGACGTTTAACAGCTGCTCAAGCACTAGCTCATCGTTATTTCGCAACGTATCATGATGAATCAGATGAACCAATTGCAGAGAGATTTGATGATCCATTTCAAGACGATAGTAATGTATCTTTAGATCAGTTAAAAGGTATTTAATATCTCTGTATGTTTTCCTATTCATTCACTTTTAATTCTTCCATGTATGTAATCAAAATGTCCTTTACTTGTAAGGAGTATTCTTTGAAGTGTTTTGTAGGAAAATTTATTATTTTAGTGCTTATGCCTTCAAACTGGTTTGCCCATTGCTATTTGTGGCGAATTGACTTTGTATACATTCACTTACTATTCATGTCTCACACTCCTATGTTCATAACAATATTTCTGCGAACTTTTGAGTTCCATATTCTAGTTAACGTCATATTTGACTGGAGACTATAACTATATTGTCAGCATACTTTTAAGATGAAAGTGTATTGTAATATAATCTGAACATATAAGCAAAAAAAATTATTACATTACATGTATGAATCAGTACATTATTCGAAATTGTGGAGTCGGTCTTCACATCTTAATCACGGTATCGATGTCTCTTCTATCTTTAACTAAGTAAACCGGTTTACAAAGCACAACTTTCTCAGAAGTATTACAAACAATTGAAATAGAATATTAAATTATATTGATAGCATTTTAGGTTTAGTCTCCCGATCTACACACCGATTATGCATTTGAAACCAAAGGACTGTCAGAAGAAATGTAATGCTATATCCAACTAATTCTCATTTATTTCATCCAGGTTAAATAGTTATGAGTTTGAATGTTAACCATCATTGCTGACTACAGTAATACGCAATATATATGTACTTCTATTTTTCTACTTTATAACAGAAGCTGTATGGAATACACTAGAGAATTTCGTACCGAATCTAAATTCTCTACATTTATGCGCTTCTGAAGAGACAAATGCAGCTTGAATGTATATGTATGTATTTTATTTCTATATACACGGAGAAATATTGTTTCTTTAGCCTCATTTATGCATCTATATATGTATACAACTGATAATATTTGGAATTATCAAAATATGTTACAGTTAAACCCAATTGCCATTTACTTTCTGATCCGGTTGATATGTTTGCTTATTCCGCATATTACTAAAAACCCTTAACATGCTTTATTTTTCCTTTTACTAAAAACTAATATTGAATATTCTTTGTATAAACATTTTATTTACATAAATATTTTTCCATACAAACGTTCCTATATACAAAAACTTTTTTCGCTTTTATCCTGTGGCTCATTTTTTATACACAAAGATCTCACATTCTGTGACTAGTATTGAAAACTAAATAAAGTCTACATTAGTAATGGTATAAATTGTTTGATAAAAAATCTACATACAGCTCAATAGTTAATCTTCACAAATCGTTTAATTTAAGACTGGATATGTATATGCAAGTGGAAAAAAATTTTTTTTTAAATTTACATAGAAAATGCTTTTAAAACCTTTTTTGTACTTCTATCATCTTTATAAAAAAGGTTTTCGAACACAAATGAAGAGCGAGGTTAATCTGTGTTCTTATTTCCTTTTGATATTTTTGTGATTGGTTCTATTCTTACTTTTCTGGAATAAATTATTCATCAGCTTTCTCACTGTAAAATCATTTATTCATTTGATTCTCAGTATATAAATAAGCTCATTTATGGTACTAGCTAATTTAGACTCAAGGAATGTAATAACCTGATAGAAATATTCATCGTCTTAGATTGTTCGTCATGATGAATACCAAAATGGTATTAATTATAATAAACGTTTTGTTGTGACTTTAAGTTCGGCTAGTTATATCACGTGATTTGTTTGCCAATCGAAATACAACTTATTCAAACTTAATACTGTGCTAAACCAATGACATCCGACCGGTATGAACACCCTAGCGTCCTTATTGGTCCTTTGTTCGTCCAGTTGAGTCCAAAATACCAATAACAGCTTGCACTATGCGAATCATTCATTTCAAACATACTTGGTTTATATATCAGCCAAATATGCCACATCACACCATAAAATAGGAAATAATATTTGTAGAAGATCAAGCCAAAAAGTGTCTGTGAACGTGGGAGGCTAATCAGTAAACTGGACATAGCTTAAGAACAGTACTTCGTATAATAATAATCTATAGATAAAAAAGGAAGCTTATAATAAGAGGGATATAGATATACGTATATATATATTATAGATAAACAATAAGTATACATATATATGATATTAGTCCAATAATAGTTCTAAGAAGTTACCCGTAATTTAATCTTCATTAGAATATAAGAAAAGAATCGATATGTGGAATTACAAAAATAAGGTGATTTCTTACTTCGTGGTTTAAATGTAGGTCAAGAGTGGGTGCATCTGTGACAATGTGACCGATATTTACACCCTGCCTGATGTTCCCGACTGTTGATTATAAAGATCTCGGAAATCGCAACCAAAGTTGCTCGAACTGATATTTAATTCGCTCATGGATTAATGCCATGTGTTTGTTCTTATGCTTCTAATTTTCTTACAGCCTACTTCGCCTCTCAACAGTCTTCATCAAGAACCCCTAAATGCCCTGGTATGGCTAAGAGTTGGGTGTGCCCGCGCTCCCTCTCCAAATGCTCTCACACGGCCACGCGTACACAGCCTCTGTCAGGCAAGTCCTACTCACTGCCTTCTCGTGGCGGTAGTATTGTTTACGAAAATGAGAGGACGAAAAGCGAATGTCCGGCGTTTTAACCGGGCCAGTGGACACGGCGGCTCCACCTAAGGGAGTTGGAAAACCCTGATTCCAAACCAATGGTGTACATGGGCTCCAGTATCCTGAAGGGACAAAGGGCGTATGAAGCAATCGTTGGTCACCGGCTATCATAGGACTGCATCTCCTAACGCTGCTCCACTAAATTGTGGATTAGACATCTAGGTCAAAGGCTCGGAGTGTGGCCTCTTAAGATAATCATCTGCTTCGGTCTGGGCACCTGGGCAGTATCACAGCCCACATACAAATAAAACAAAAATGACGATATTTACTGAAAATTCTATTCACGCTTCGGTTAACAGTCAAACAATTCACATTATTATTTACCACGTCGCTTATTCACTCTTTATTCCTACTCTATGTATCCTTATTTTTCGATTTATACAGCAGCTCGCCTATGGTGGAAACTCGGTTCTATCTAAACGTTCTCGAGTCACTGTCCGGTTGAAAATTGTATGCTACCACCAAATACGAATACTGAAGCAGTTCTTCTGAAACCACGTGCACCATTCAAACTGGCTGCCTTCAACGTTCGCACACTTATGCAGGTCGGACAACAGATAGGGCTGGCTATGTCTTTGAAAAGTCTTAATATCGATGTTTGTTGTCTATCCGAGACCCATATTCAAGACTGGTGAAGTACTACAAATTGTGCTGTTAGATTAGAAACTTCCATCAAAGTGAGAAGAAATCGGCGTGAGAAACGATGTCTTTTCGTCATCTCCGCCTATTCTCCGACAGATTGCAGCCCGGATGCAATCAAGGATGAGTTTTACCACCAGTTGTCTGTTATAATTATAATTATTTTCAAATAACAGTTAGTTACATGAGGGATGCCAGTTTACAGGCAAGATCAAATTGTTATAAATGATACAATATCCACTATAGTAAACTACTTGGCTGGGTTGATAATTTATGAGATATGAATGTAGATGGTTTTAATCAGTATCACAGTTGGCGCGCTTCATGAAAGTTGCGTTGCGAATGTGCAACTGATGGTCAAGAATAGGTCCATTGAATATAGGAGCTTCTAAAAGTCGCAACCTTATGTCCCTTTAGAATATCTAAGGCTTTGAGGATGGTTCAGGATGAAATCACCCATTCCATATCACAAGGGGGCAAGTAAAAGAAAGGACGAGAGACAGAGTAGCCAATATTCATGAAGGAATGCTTAAGGTATGATAACTCAGTCTAATTTTCTTTTATTAAGGTATTTGTTAAGAAAGAGCATTTTAATAGGTTAAAGAAAGTAAGTGTTAACAAGGTATGAGTGGACATACAACTGACAAATAGAGGCGATTCGGAAAGGAACTGAGAGTATAAGATTATGTGTGATTATAAAATAAAATATAGTGCTAGAAACAGTATTGTGATATACAATTGGCGATCTTCCTTTTTTATCGAAGCTATTGGAGCCCTTTTCATTTTTTTTGTATTATTATTTTTTTTAAGTATCATAGGGTCTTGAGTAGGCTTCGTATATTAGCGAATTGTCTAGTTTGCTTGTAATAGGATTACTGGGTAGGAAGTGAAACCAATTCAACGTTCGTAACACGATTTAAAGAGGTATTTTGCGTGATAAATCAACATTATAACCTAGGGTTCGTGACATCCCAGCACTTACTTTCGGCACAGTCATTGCCGATGTGCCACCTGGCGTCCTCCCTCTGCATCTCAAGCCTGAACTCAGATTGATCACATCGCGATCAGCTACCGCCGGCTTACTTGTGTACAAGACTGACGCTCCTTTTGGAGTACCTATCTGGACTCTGCGCTAATCTTACCTTACTTTTTAGTGGACAACAAAATGACCGCCACCAACGGATTGATGTTAGCAAGCCGGTTGCAACTTCTGTTGCAAGTAAGTAACGAACCGATCTGGATTCTAGGCTAGCCGCCACTCCACCGAAAAGTATAGATGAGCATTGGTTGCAATTGCATGACGCCATGAAAATGGCGGGTACAGTCAGTTGTGGGTTCACGAAACGTCCCGCTTATAAGCACTGGATTTCTGCAGGTTCCTTACAACTCATTTAAGCCCGTCGGTCTACTCCGGGTGACCGTGAGTTTGACCATAAACGAAGGATGTTACGTGAGGAAATTAGGCAAAGCTTGCGTAAGGACCGAGAAGCCTGATGGTTGGAGCGTGCTAATGAGCTGGAAGCAGCAGCTGCATCTGGTAACTACCGGAAGCTCTTCCCACTCATCCGAGCCACTGGCAGCAAGAAGTCTGGTGTGAGTGAAATAATCTGCGAGGATGATGGGATGCCAATCACTAACACCCATCGACGTCTTGGACGATGGGCAGAATTTTTCGAAGGGCAGTTCAACTGGCCTGCTGCTCCGGCAACATCGGTCAGACTGTCCTGCCCTCCATGGCCGGTGACGACTGATCCACCAAATGAGGCGGAAGTCCGCAAGGAACTCCAACTCTTGAAGCGTTACAAATCACCTGGCCCAGATGACTTACCTCCGGCTCTTTTTAAAGATGGTGGTGACTTTTTGACTAAGGAATTGACAACGTTGTTTACAAAGGTTTGGGAACTAGAGAGTGTACCAACGTCAGGGAATGAGTCGATAGTTGTCCCTATCTTTAAAAAGGGTTCACGTCGTTCCTGTAACAACTATCGGGGGATAAGTCTACTTCCGATTGCGTCCAAGCTATTGGCTTCCGTCATTCTTCGTAGGTTGTTCAAAACCCGAGAAAGATTGACTCGCGAGGAGCAGGCTGGGTTTCGTTCTGGTCGAGGATGTATTGATCATATCTTCACCCTCCGCCAAATGTTAGAACACCGCCATACTTATCAAAGGCCAACAATCGTAGTGTTTCTTGACATCAGGGCTGCCTTCGATTCGTTGTACAGGACTGTTCTCTGGGATTGTCTATTGAAGAAGGGTGTGCCTGAGAAGTTTATTAACATCCTAAAGGCCCTATATACAAACACCTCAGGTAGAGTGAGGGCATACAACCACCTCTCTCCATTGTTCCATTCGAGCAATGGGGTTAGGCAGGGTTGCCCAATCTCACCATTCCTCTTCAACTTTGTCATCGATGACATTCTGGAAACAGCTCTGATGAATGTAAGTAATGGTGGTGTGGATCTGTTGCCTGGAGAAAGACTTCTCGACCTTGAGTATGCGGATGACATTGTCCTACTGTGCGATAATGCACAAGGCATGCAATCCGCACTTAATCAGTTGGGAGTCAATGTCCGTAGGTACGGTATGTGCTTTGCACCTTCGAAATGCAAAGTACTTCTACAAGACTGGCAGGATTCTAATCCTGTACTCACCCTGGATGGTGAGCAGATAGAAATAGTCGAGAAGTTCGTGTATCTGGGTAGCTGCATAAGTGCTGGTGGGGGTGTGAGTGATGAGATCAATGCACGTATAGTGAAAGCCAGAGCGGCTTATGCCAATCTGGGCCACCTTTGGCGCCTTCGTGATGTTAGTCTGGCTGTAAAAGGTCGGATCTACAACGCGCCGGTGAGAGCAGTTTTACTGTATGCTTATGAAACTTGTACTCTCCGAGCCGAGGATGTTATACGACTCTCTGTGTTCGATCATCGCTATCTCCGAAGGATTGCTGACAACCAGTGGTGACGACACGGTACAGAATAGAAGCCAGTGGCGATCCTGCCGTAACCATGTTTACGTCCTTCATAAAACGTGGTTGTACCTTCCGTAATTGAAAGAACTCCTCTTGTTGTGTCCTTCAGTTTCTTTTTATTATTATCAGCATTATTATAGTTACACTACCTTACACTAATAATAAATGATTAATAACCATCTAAAGTCAATCGATAGAGTTGTTTACGATCCGCTAAGTTTATACAGTCATGCAGCCTTGTGGTGTTTGAATGGACTAATGATACCTTTGTACTGGTTGAATGTTTGATTTCGAATTCTAAATACAATACATTCGTTGGTGCCTGTGTCTTCTTAATTCAATTGCGTTAATCCTGGAATTCCTAATTCATACGATAATTAGAATACTATATTGGCGTCGTGATGGAACCTGCAATGGAAAAGTTGGATATTCGT